CCCATTTGAATTGCCTCCGTGTCTTGGAACAACTTTTAGCTAACAAGCTGGAGACTTCGACAATCCTACAGAGGGCCGTCTCGGTCTTCTAAATGCCATGTATTCCCTTGGAGCTTTGATGGCAGTACCTTTTATTCCCACCATTTCCCAGTACCTTGGGCGCCGTTGGTCCATACTTGCAGGATCGCTAGTCTTATGCCTAGGTGCTGGACTCCAGGTAATTTAGTTCTCTTCTTCCTTTCACTTAGCCTTAGTAGAAGAGCGAAAGAACGACAACATATTAAACATTATCTTTATAGACGGGGTCCCAGAATAGCGATATGTTTCTCGCATCTCGTTGGGTTCTTGGATTTGGTATCCCCCTGGCCATCGTTAACGCTTCCGCACTTGTTGGAGAGCTAGCGTATGAAAAGGAGAGACCGACTATGACCTCCCTCTTTACTTCTTCCTGGCACGTGGGGGCTATTGTCGCGGCTGGTGTCACCTATGGGACTTTCCAAATGACTAGTACCTGGTCTTGGAGGTTGCCCTCTATTCTGCAGCTGGTTCCAAGCTTGTGTCAGATATTATCTCTACCATTCTGCCCTGAGAGTCCGCGGTATTTAATCTCAGTCGATCGAAGTGACGAAGCATATGCGATTCTTCAGAAGTACCACAGTGAAGGGGACAATGGCGAAGAGTTCGTTCGCCTCGAATTTGCCCAGATCCAAAGCACTATTGCTCAAGAGAGGGAGACAGCTAAGGCATTCGTGTGGGCCGATGTTTTCCGGTACGCGACCATCTGGCGTCCGTCTCGCGTATATACTGACTTTATATTGCAGCGATCCTCCGATGAGACGCAGGTTTCTCCTTGCTGCAATAGTCGGATTCTTTACCCAATGGAGTGGCAATGGGCTTCTTAGCTTTTACAGGTTCGTGTGTTCGTCCATTCAGTGGTACAAGTTTCCCCTATTTGTCGTCTAGTAACACTAACGGTCAAGTAGTAAGTAAAAATAACCCGAGAATCGACAAAAATATATGCTGTCTCTTTCAGTTTCCGTTTCTCGACTTTACTCATCGCTGAGAGGGGCCGCAACCATCTATATTGTCCTGCTAACGTATCTCAGTGAAGAAAATTCTAAATCTTGTCGGAATCACGGATAATCGCACTGTTCAGAAAGTCATCTTGAGCAACACATGTTGGGGCTTGATAAACGCTGTCCCCGTGGCCCTCGTCGCACCACTATTACGCCGTCGCGTTGGGTTCCTGATTTGTACGATTGGCACAGCTGTCGTTTATAGCGTCTGGACAGTAGCTTCGGCACGGTTTGCTATCGAAAATACATCGTCCGCCGCAATAGCAGTTCTAGTGTTCATTTTCGCGTACTCGCCCGTGAGTTAACCTCCGCCTCCTATGTTCCCTATCACGGCTGACATGCTCGCTAGTTCTATAACCTGGGTTGGAATGCGCTGGCATATACCTACTGTAAGCAGCTGATTACTACGTTTTTTTGCACTCACCTATCCTTGTGAGGCAGGCCATCATACTGAATTAGGAGCGACTTCATGTGGCAATTGCTAACTGAAACCGTATAGTGGTTGAAATATTCCCGTACCAGCAACGAGCCAAGGGTATCGCGGTCGAGCAACTAACGGTTAGGTTTGCTGTCTTCTTCAACACATACGTGAACCCAATAGCGCTGGATCGAATCGGATGGAAATATTACTTGGTTTATTGTGTATGGATCCTATTTGAAGTCGCGACCGTATACTTCTTATTCCCAGAGACATATAACAGAACTTTAGAAGAGCTCTCGTTCATCTTCGAGGGCAAAGAGGTTCAGGATAAGGTCCAGAGCAATGTCGATAAGCAACTCGAGGCCGACCATGCTGACAAAAGAGCTGCTGATGGGACGGAAGAAATAGGGGTTTGAGTGGGGATAACAGACCTCAGACGTCGGGTTGCGAATAAGAGCTACGGTCCTTGTGTAGCTTGAATCCTTTCATGGAATGATATGTCCAATTATCCCACGTCATAACCGTCGAAGCCGTTCCGCCGCATCCGATGTCGTGGCCGAATCCGAGACCCGTCCGCCAATATTAAGTCATTGGTATAGCGAATCGGATGAGGTCTTACTTTCACATTTTGGCGGGCACAGATATAGATAGGGCGAAGATATCATAAGGCCTTATGAATAAGCGTTTACTTCGTAGAGTTTATATGTCAGGGTTTGGTGTGCTGCGCCACGCTATCGTAACATCTACCCTATCATGAATATTATTCTTCGTAAACGTACCTACCTACGTAAGCATGGCTCTGCCTAGTGTATTAATGTGCCACAAATTCCCTGCTAGCGAGTCGAATTCATAACCAAGGGAGAGTAAAGAGGGTAAATGGTTTGACAATGCACTTGGCGGATGAGTAGTACCCGCGGACTTGGCTGAAATCCAACGGAAACACCTTACGGATCAACGTGGACTATCAGAGAACGTTATTATTCGGTAGCTGGGTAGATGCATGGTTCTGGTCCAAGCGTCAACTCCCTAAACGTATATTAGTCTACGGACGCTGTGGTATTCGGATCCGAAAACTATGTAAACTGCTGTAGCCCTAGTTGTTAGCAATAGGATTAGGATTCTCGAGTTTTATTCTGATTTTTACTTTCCTAAATATGATCCTATCGATTATTGCTATTGTATCAGGCCTTTGATATCTGATTTCTCAATCATGGCGTCCGCGGGGACCAGGCTCCGGCGTGCTGTCGTATCAGTGCCGTTTCTTTTTATCGCAGCTTTGTGCTTGCGTATCATGGACCCGAGTACGATAGTGGCATTTCAACAGCCATTCGCCGATTCTGGGGTGATTGAATGGGACGGCGGGAAGGTTCCCATAATAGACAACTTCCATGGCATACATTTCCTTGATGACATCTTTCGCGGCGGAATGGCAACCTTCTCGGCTTCGACATTCGGATACGACCCTGTGGCTTGGTGGCAGATTTTCTCTTTTCTCACCGACCTCGGGCCAGTATATGCGATATGGATCTTAGAATCTTACCGTGTCGGCTACGCTTACACGCCGGCGTATTTGTGAGTTGATATGAGACTTAATGAGCGAGAAGTGACTAATAGAATTTTTCTAGCCCGACTGTATTTACGGTTGCTGGGCAATTCCTAGGTATAGGACCAGTAGCTCCGATCTTTTATTTCTTGTCTTTGACTTTTGGTCCTACTGCATCCGACCTAGCCCGATTGCCGGCTCGAGATCGAGGTGTCTGGAATCGAGGTAGTGGGCTTGTGTTTTTGCTTATCTTCCTATTCCACACCTCCGAAGTCTTCGCTATGTGTCTTGCTCCGGAGCTAACTACACGACACTATTGGACTTGGGCCTGGCAGATGAGCCCTCTCTACATTGGTCTCGCCAATGTTCTACTTTACGGACTTACCAAACCGCTGTTATCTAAGCTTAGCTTCGTATCCCCTAAAAGCCTCCTTGCAGTAGCGGGTATAATATCCGCTGGTGTTTGGGGATACACGCTACTCTCCTCGCCATATTCTCTAGCCACTATCTTCATACCTACATCAGAAGTGCCGTCGGAGTTTATCCCCTTTGTCCAAAAAATCTTTCAAGCTGATCATCTATCTTTCTTCGCCAGCTCCTTTCTATGGTTGATCTATTCCTTCTTAGACCTTAACAGTGTCGGTATAATAGGAACAAGCTGGCTTTATTGTATCCCATTCCTTCCAGTTTCCATTGGTCTTGTTGGCCCTGCTTCCACTTTTACTCTCTTTTGGTATATACGGGAGAGGGCACTAGCATCTAGTTAAAAGTAGCTTGCTTACATTGTATATGGACTTGAGTTTGGGATATTGCTGGTCTAGACTGGAAGGACTTTTAATATTCCTGAGCTCTGCTGGTACGCACACTCCTACCAATATACATAAAATCACTATAGTAACTTAGATCTCATAGAGGTTAATAATATAATGTGTTAAAAATTTATCTACCTGTATTTAGTTGTCTATGTGATTCATAGAACTTGTTAAATTCTCCTTGTCTGGTAGCTAATACTAATTCGACCACCTTATTCATCGAAAGTGAGGACCTCCGATAACGGAAGGCCGCACGCGGTTACCGGCTCCATTCCATAGTAGGTATTTCAAGTATTTTGAATGTTTAGATGTTAGTATTATAGGAATTGTCACGAGGTGGACCAGGAAGCAAGGAAACAATTTCGTTGCTCTGCGAGGAACTCTAAGCTAGCTACGGGAGCCTACGGATATATATACTGATAGTGTCCATTGTTCTAGTTGTCTCATCTGGAATTCTGACAACACTATTAAGACTTCTAATACTGTAGCCTTTAATCAAAATTCAAAACTCTCGCTTAATACACTTGTTTCTAACATCTTTACCGAGGCAATCCAATTTATTACTGGAGTATACTCTTTCGCTCTTATCATACCATAAATATAGCTCATGTTTAAGGGATGTATTTCAAAAGGAGTATAACAAGCTTATTTTAGAGAACATCGAAGTGCTCCAGAGATGTTCGTATGTAGCCTCAGTTAATTTACTAATAATTCTATTTCTGGCTTTGTAATACTAATCTTAACTATGCCTACAAAACCAAACCGCAACAAGATATGCTGCTAGTGTGAGACAGAATCTTGGATATAGAACTTCGTACGTGTCTCGCACCCACGAGTAACTTATAGGCAAAGTCGAATATGCATACCATCTCATCCGTTAAGAAAGTGATTGATGGTACGAGGTGAACCCAGAAGAGATGGAAACAACCTGGTTGTTCCGCAGGGGACTCCAAACCTAAGCTACGCAAATCAGCGGTCACTTTATACATACGGAAGGTATCTTTTGTTCTAGATGTCTCATCTAGAGTCTTAACAGATACCTCAATACCGAAGTAATATAAATAGATATCATAATTACCTCGAGTCCGATCTCTATTATCATTATATTCCCATCATCTCATATTTATCTCATATTTATCTCCAAAACAATGTGCAAAACTCTTCCAGACGCCAATCCGGGAAACCCGGCAACCGGTGCTAGCCTTCATGCTCGAAATTCAAATTCTACTATAAACCGAAGAATCCGCAGGGCTCCAGGAGTCCTCCCCGGGTATCAAACAACCAAGTGAGTGATACCGCCTTGATGATGTATGCATAGTTTCTCACAACGTGGTATTTATAGCCGTCATGGTCCCCCTATATTCGGCAGACGACGCAGGAATATATTTGGAAAGCGGGTTAAAGGAGATATCAATCAAGAAGAAGTAAGCACTAAGTCTAATGATCTAATAATACTAAGCAATAAACTAACCTATATAGCAGGATGAGGAAGACTCAAATGATAAATCAATAGTGTATCCTCCTCGTCCAGGTCCTTATCTCAACCACGCAGATTCAAGCAATTATGTTCACAGGCATTCTATAATTCCTCTAGGCCCTCTTTTTGGTTCAGGTGTTGACCTTCGGCCACATCTTTCAGAGGCCTATAACCAACTGGCTATGGGTAGCTGTTCTTCTCATGCTGTAGCCGGCGCATTTGAATTTGCGATTAGAAAGACAGGTCGACCCCATTTTATCCCTTCTAGGCTATACATCTGGTACTATGCCCGCTTGAATTCAGGATATAGAAAAGGAAACTATGAAACCACCGACTTAAATATAGGTACTTCCGTTGAGGACGCTCTCCGTGTTCTGCAATCAGGTGTCTGTTCTGAGAATCTTTGGCCTTACATATTTAGCGAGAGTAATAATCGGGGGACCTATAGATTCTCTCCTAATTCCATGGCAGCAACGGAGCCCAATGCAAATGCGAGACGCCTTGCTCTTCAGAATACCGCAACATATGAGGCGATTAGCACGGAAAACTTGCAACATAACCTCATGCATTGTCTTGATAGCGGGTTTCCCTTCATCTTCTCCATGAGTGTGCGCGATTGGCTCAACAAGAAAAATCTTAATGAGCGTAACGGCTATCAGATGCGTATGTATATAATTAAGCCTAAGTTTTACTCTTATCTAACAATCAATGTTATTATAGAAGTGCCAAGTTACCCATACCCAAAGAGCGATAAAAATGCAACCGACTGGCATGCATTCCTAGCAGTTGGTTACATACCACGAAATGGATCATTTATTATTCGGAACTCATGGGGGTCTAACTGGGCTGATCATGGCCATTTCTATATGGCCTACAATTATATGAACATTTATTGCACAGAGTTCTGGATTGTCCGCTAGAAAATACACTAAAGAGACGTATTAACAATGAATTCGATAACGTCAAGAGGCTTCGCACCCCTTAATATTGTCTATATTTATTCGAAGTACTCTTGAACAGGTATAGTTTCCACCTATCTATAAGAATTTCTGAACTTATAAAATATTTACCTTGTCCAGTAATTCTCGAAATCGGTTTGATCTTTTATCGGTTTGAATCGGCGCAAGGAATATGTTTATTCTTGCCTGATTCCCGCTTAATTGATGTATTAGGTAGTGTCTGGAGGACACGAGATGCGATAGCCAGCGCCGGTACTATATACCTAGAGGCATCTATATCCTTTACATTGAAATTTCCCGGCACGCGACTGTTGAACATGGGACGACTAGAGTATCGAAGCAGATGAAATTTACTGTCTGGCATAAGCAACCTTCTCTCCCTTCCTCGTATAGAGTAAAGTAAGCTAGAAGTGAGACTATTTGAGTCGTGTGATTCGGGGTACCTACGATTTTATCTTTCATCGTGTTTATTAGGATTCTAGACGAGACATCTAGTATAGAGGGTCTGCCATTATGTACCTGGTCATTAGTCTTCATAGCTTAGGTCTAGAATTCCTTATAGGAAAACAACTTATTTCCATAATTTCCAAGCCTACCTTGTAATATCCTCAAAAGCAGCACTACTCGACCATTCTCTTATTATATTAACACTCCTTATGACTAAAAGCACCCACAAACTAACGGATTCATCACTTCAAATCTGTTTAAAGAGTTCGACTAAATAATTCACCTACGTAGATATTGCCAAGGTTCGTTTATAACCGTTAGCAATAGTAAAAAAACCCGCCACTCCATCCAGATATTTCGTCATAAGTCAGCAGGAACATCATGGTACATTCAATATTAACTATAAGAAAATTGGCGAGCATATCTAGTGCTTAGTCGGGATTAATGATCTACCCGGAGTTCAGCATTTCTGCTGACCGATCTGTCCGCGGTAGGGACTAGGGAGCGGAGCGGAGCTGATGGGTCATAATATTACAGGGTGCCTCGTATCCATCCGGCTTAATAGAACAGGTCCGAACCCCGTAACTCTCCGCACAATGGCCCGGTGGAGACTTCTATCTCTTGGACTGCCCTGACTGCTTACCAACCATGCGTATATACCTATATGTAGACACCGTATATAAAATTGACGAGGGGGATATTAGCATGTCGTTCTTATGAACCCCATCTCACCGTTGGCATTTTATGGCTACCTACACTTGACATACCTCCAACATATAATATACTCTTTACGAATATGGCCACTGACACGTATAAATCCGACTACGTAACAACATCTGACGGCGTCCGCCTCCGCTACTGGCAAGATGGGCCTCTCTCCGGCCCCAACGTAGTTTTCATCGCGGGCGGGATCCAGACGGCAGCCCAGTTTAAACAGCAGGTCGAGCACTTCAAGACCAAGTACCGCGTTACCACATACGACCACCGCGGCCACGGCGAGTCAGACAAGCCCACCTTCGGATACCGAATATCGCGGCTTGCCGCGGACCTAGAGGCCCTTCTAACGCAACTCGACCTGCGCAACACCACTCTCGTCGGACACTCGATGGGCTCGTCCGTGGCCTGGGCACACTGGGACCTATTCCCGCACGACCGGATCTCCAAGCTCGTCTTCATCGACCAGTCGCCCGCCATGACCGCCAACCCGGCATGGACCCCCGAGCAGGTCGCCGAAGCAGCCGCCATATTCCAGCCTTCGCAGCGCTTCGACATCGCGAACGCGCTGCGCGGTCCGCAGTGGAAAGAGACGTGGACCGAGACGTCGCGCGGCTTCTACACGCCGGACGCGGACCCCAAGGATATCGAGTGGGCGCTGGCCCAGTCGATGAAGACGTCGCCGGAGAACGCGGCGGCGCTGTTAGCGGACCATGTCACGATTGATTATCGGGATATTTTCCCCCGGATCAATGTGCCCACGCTGTCGTTTGCTGCGAAGGGGAGCGTGTTCCCCACAGCGGCGCAGGAGTGGATTGCGAAGCAGACGGGGGGCCGGGTTGAGGTGTTCGAGAAGGAGGAGGGGGGAAGTCATTTTCTGTTCTGGGAGAACCCGGACAAGTTCAACCGGATATTGGAGGAGTTTTTGAGTAGTTGAATAATGATCTATGTTAGTCATGAGTCGTAGCTGACTTGTGAGTGTGCTTGATCTTTAGCAATATAGGAACGTTAGGTACTTATATTTATACCTACCTAGGTACTCTATAGGAAATATGAGCATTTAGAAGAACATCTAGGTAAAGTTATTAGTTTCAAAACATGCAACATTCTCATCATGGCGTGTGTAGGTAGTCGTCTCATACGTAAGGAATAAACACAACTTTTATTATGTACTATCTGGTTGGAATAATATTTAGGTGAAGTCCTAAATATAATCTGTATTATTGCTCTCGGTGGCGTAGGAGAGATGTGTATTAAGAGATCAAAGGAATGCCTATGAATGATACCGGAGCCTAGGAGAAGGTGTTAAGAGAGAGAATAGGGTTGTCAACCTCACTCAGACTTACCTATCCGCTTCTGCTTCTTCTTGAGTATTACGTAAGAATTCTTTCTCCAATTGTTGCTTCAATTGTTGCATCAAGGTCTCCAGCCATCCAGCCTCGCTATACTCCTGGTGTACGCGATATCGATCGGCATTCTCATAAGATAAGTATAAGAGACGTCGAGAAGCTTCCGGGTCGTTAGGATCGTGACGGGCCCGCCATTCCGGATACACCGGCAGCTTTTGCTTCTGTGACGATGAGCCAGACATATCTTCTTTGGCGGTTCCCGGCATATGATTGTTGCCGGAAACAAATAGATAAGCCGCAAGCGTACCAACTAGAATGGGAAGTTGGTATTTATTCCCTGGTAGTAAATACGGCCGGATCGCCAAATCGGCTCTCTCCACCACGGTCCAAGTAAACACTTCTCGCATGAATGTCGCAATATGATGGTGTGGTAGCTCTGGGCGTAGACTTCTGAGTTTAAAATCCGGGCGGTCGACCACAGGGGAATATTGGAAGCTAGCCGCGGCTTTCCTAAAATCTATACTGCTGATAAACCGGTGCGAGCGGTCAAACTCGGAGACTTTCGACCAATATTCACCTTCAAATTTAGATACAGCCAGCCGTATCTTTGGAAATTCGACGAATTCGATAATTGCCGCGGCGTCGACTTCCGGTAACCAGGATGCGAGGCCAATCGCGGCACGCGTGAGCGGTGTGGCCCATTGTTCATAACGGTTCCTTTCGTCTTCCGAAAACTTGGGCTTGGTTGTGGTGGTGTCTTGAACTGATCGTAGGATTTCTTGAACTGATGGGTTACCCATTATGAAGTCCGGAGGTTTGCTATTCTAAAATTTAACTTGAAAGAAATATTTACTAATGACTAGAAGTCCAGTTTAATCGTTAAATACCTAAAGCAAGACTAATTACGGGACTAGGGCGTATATATACGTGTATAGGTTAGACAGTGAGGTTAGACAGGAAGTTAATCTACCATCCATATTAGCACACTGTTAGGTGGTCACACAGTACCTATACAATCAGTTAGAAATCATAAGCATTGGTGACACAATAGCTTTCAAACTACCCAATAATAAAAGAACATCAAAGAAGCTGTAAGGCTAACGCTAAAAAAACTGTGTTTGCTACATTGTATTAGACACTAAAGGAAAGTACAAGTTCAAAAAACAATCCTATTCATACACGTACCTAAGGTTAGTTATTTGTCTTAGCAGCTGTCAAGATTGACCAATCAAGACTCAACGCCCGGAATTTGATGCCTTGAAAGTAAAACCCGGTGCCTAGAAAGTAGAGTATACCTAACGTAGAACTTCTATGGGAAAGCAACCAATAGGATGTCTAATCGGGAAACGGCATTGTTAACTGACCGATCCCCTAAACTCCGCGACAGGGATATAAAGCTCTCGTCCTGCTTAGACTCGGCCGAGCTACCAATAAGAAATAACACGCCATAAACGCAATACGTAAGGCGTCTTTCAGCCAGCAATCATGACGCGAACACAAGGAGAAATCACCTTACGCCGCAATCGAAAGGCCCTGCCTAATAGAGTAAGGCACCTAGAGGCGAGAGAAGGAGGTAGGTATTAGAGTCGAGCATCTCACTGTTTCTTCTTTGTATTCTTTCCTTCTCATCATTCCCAATTGCGTTTTCTTAACGACTCTGCACAGGCTTTGACGTCAGTAGCCGTGAGAGATCAATTATAATAAAAGACATCAATTTATAAGTCCTGGGCTTCCGAGCTAGACATATATATATATATATATAATTTGGCCACTTCCGTAGATCCCGAGCCTCCCAATTGCCTATATATAGGCTATTCATCGACAAGATGAGATATTCAGCTACTCTATTGCCCCTCGCGGCCACAGCCGCTGCATTCATGATCCCCGATGAGGCTACTGCACAGCAACTCGTCTTAGAGCCTGAGCAGCAGGCAAAGAAACCCGTGTCATCATGGTGGGACCGCACCCACAGCCTCGATGCCTTCCTCTCATCTGGGAAAAATGCTTTCGAGGCTACCCTCGATGCTCTCGAGAAGCAGGCCGGCAAGCTGAGCAGCTCGCTCCCCAAAGTGGAGTTCGAAGTCGGATCCGAGATTACCGATTTCCTCGCCCCGTCCGACTACGCCGCCCCGGGGCACGGACGTTGGCATGTCACGAATCTGACAGTGTACCAATCCATCAAGGCTTCGAACTACTCTAAGAAGTTCGCGGCTCTGGTCGATGACCACCCGGATCTAGTTAAGAAGTTGAACAGCACTTCGACTAACATCACCGCCTTCATCCCCACGGATCACGCTTTCGAAAAGATCCCCCACGATGACAAGGATCATAAGCCGCCTAAGGAGTTCCTCGAGAAGTTGATCAAGTACCACGTCGTTCCCGACTTCTACCCCGCCGGCCGCGTGCTCGCCCAGCACACCCTGCCGACTGCCTTAGAAGAGGAGTCGCTTGGTGGACGCCCTCAGCGATTACGGGTTAGTGTCGGGTTATTCGGCGTGAAGCTGAACTTCTTCAGCAAGATCGTCTACGCAAACCTGGTACGTCCCTCTTTTTCCTCCCCTTCCCTTAAACCTCCACCACCCCCTATCCTAAAAACCATACTAACACCCCTCCCCCTATCCAGCACACCGCCAACGGCGTCATCCACGGCGTCGACAACATCCTAGTCCCGCCACCCCCAGCCAAGACATTAATCTCTCTCTTCCCAACCAAATTCTCCACTCTCGAGCTCGCAGCCGAGAAGACAGGACTCAAGCACCACGGCGACGACGCCCACCACGAGCTGACCGGCCTAACATTCTTCGCGCCCACCAACACGGCCTTCCAGCGTCTCGGACCCGGCGCCAACGCCTTCCTGTTCAATACCGAGAAGGGCCTGCATTACCTGCGCGCGCTTCTCGCGTACCACATCGTGGCCAACGAGACGCTGTACTCGGACGCGTATTACGGACCTAAGGCCGCGGGTTTCGCGCCGAGTCTGGATTTAGCGTATAACGTCGACGCTAACACGGCTAAGGAGGAAGACGGCGCTGAGACGAAGAGCGCCAAGCACTACCATCTCGACCTCCCGACTCTGCTTGACGACGCGCATCTAGCGGTGGATATCACGCGCTGGTTCGGGTTCATTAGTATCAAAGTTAATGGACACGTCGATGTCGCGGTCCAGGATGGTCTTGCGCGAGATGGTGTGTTGCAAGTTGTTGATCACATCTTGATTCCGCCGCATAACCACAAGGGTGCCTGGAATGGGGGGGTCGACGGCAAGATCAGTGTTAAGGAGTTGGTTGAGAGGTTAGAGCCTTTTGTTAAGAAGGATGTTGGCGGGGGTGAGACTGGAGAGGAGGATGTTGGTGAGTTGTAAGTGTGAGATGAAACTGGGGGCCTGAAAGGAATTCGGTTTCCCTTAATGAGTATACGAATGGGAAAAGGGAAATCATGCTTAGTAGAAATGCCACTCTATATTATGCAAGTTAGAGGATAAAAAGATTACTAGAGTAGGCCTTATTGAGGAATATGTACGAAGCATCATACAAACGAAAGCGACGTTCGTTAGATATAGTTTCTGCAAGAGTATCATGTTAGTCAGGGTTGTGAAGATATTGGTTTGGTTTAGACAGATAGGCATAGCAACAGAACTACCCGTCTAAGTATCTCAGCTGTCCATCATCGCCGTCGTCCTTCAGGACCAGTAATCAACAATCCTCCAAACCCAACAACAACCCTTCCAGGTTTCTCGTCCTCAACTTTACCCTTAACTCCCCAAAATCGCATCAACAAGCCTAACTCTCCCACGTACATCCACAGCACCCCATCGCTGCTCTCTACTCCTCCATATCCTCCCATTACCACTACCACTACCACTACCACTACCACTACCACTACCACTACCACTACCACTACCACTACCACTACCACTACCACTACCACTACCACTACCATCGTTCAAATTCTTATTCCCACCCTCGTCATTATCCCTATATTCCTCCACCCCAAGCTCATCGAGCAAAACCTCCACAACCCAACACCACCGAACCAGCCCCGACGTCCCCGCAACCAACGCCTCCGCATCAGTCCGCGTCCGCGGCACCCGCGTGCAGAGCAGATGCAAGTCGAGGAACTGCGCGAATGTAGCGCCGAACGCGGGTTTATTCTGCCGTCTGCCTCCTGCTCCTATTCCAGGCAGAGGCGTGGGAATGAAGACGGAACGGAGTGTAGGTTCCAGAGGGCGGTCTTTCGCTGCTGCTGCTGTTGTTGAAGCGTGGTTCGGTGGGATATGAGAAGTACCGGTAGAAGTAGATGAGCCAGCGGATGCGGATATAGAAGTGGCAGTAGTACTATTAAGAAGCATAACAAGCGGCCCATCAGCCGACCGGGCCAAATACCGCAGGTGCGAGGATAGTAGTTGCAGGGTAGTATGTGCGCCGGCCTTGTTGTCTGCGGAGCGGGTGAAGAGGTTTGTGAGGAGGGTTGAGAAATGCGTTATGAGGATTAGGTTTGGGGTGTGTGAGGGGTTTTCTTGGTTGCTTGTAGGTATTGGGTTTGAAGTAGTGGCTTGTGCGGTTGGTGCAGCGGGAGGAGGGGAAGGAGATGAAGGTGGTTTTGGAGGAGAGGATGGCGGTGGTGGTGCGGGTGGTTGTTGTTCTGGTAGAGACGGTGGTGATAAACTCAACTCTTCCTCGTCTTCACTATCTGCCACTTCCATCCGTTTCGTCTTTGGTGGCGGTGATGGAGGAATATCCTCTACCGCCTCATCCTTATCCTCTTCTTTTGACACGCCTGGTGGGAACGAACCCGCCGGCTTAGCGTAAGCCAAATGCTCCTTGTCTTCAGCAGCAGCCGTAGTAGAAGCTACCTCTTCTTCCTTTTCCTCAGGAGTAGCATCTCGCCCAAGAGACAGTGGCGCCTCAAGCTCACTAAGGACCTCCCACAAGCCCTCGATATCAAAAACCCTCGAGATAGAAATCCGCTCGAGACAGCGTCTCACTTCCGCATTCACAACCTCCTGCTTCTGATTCGCCGTCGGGCCTAGAGCAACATGGACCTGTGCTCTAATGACATCCCTTAGCGCCGGCAATATCGCCGCCGGCGTCAACGTAGTAACGATAGCCGCTCTCTGCTCCCTTGCACCCTCAAAGACCATCGTATGCGCCACGGTCTGCAGCCCGACCTATCCCGTACCGATCGTCAATCCAATCCCCATATTTGTCGTAGTAGAACCCGGGGACGCGTTTAGTCAACTCACCAAAAGCCCGAACTCAATATCCTCAGCACTGACCCCCACAACGGACCCGCGCTCCAAGCCGCCCAGCAGCACCGCGTCATCCACCTCGGCGCAGCCGGTCCGTACTCGTCCGCGACGCCTAAGAGTCTCGCGACGCGCTGACTCGAGCTCATATAGCGTCGCGCCCGAAATGGGCTCTATTAGCGGGAAGTGAGAGCTTGCCTGCGAGGCCGGCGGTCCCTCGTCGACATCTTGGTCCATGTTTCCGCATTACTCGAAAGTATACATTTTATGAATTAGGTTGTAAGAGAAGTTGACAAATGTAGAAAGTTGATCAGTAATTAATGACTTAGAAAAGTGTTAACCCCATAAAACTCAAGATCATACAAATTGAGCAATTGTTCACTCCAAATTTCTCAGAAACTTTCCCAACGAATTACCTAACCATGGAATATTAATTAATGGCGAATTTCTAGTTGCACAACGAAGTCTATAAATATATTATGAAGGTGCTCCGAAGTGGAGATACTTTACAGCGAATGTCATAATCCTTAACACAGCATATTTCCGATATCAGCAGCACGCACCACCGCATAGCCGAGCCTCGATTTGCTCAATTCAGTCTGCATGAATTTCACCTAGGGACCGCCGGCAATACCTCTCCGTCTTCCATTGCGCCTTTACCACCTCCGCTAGTCATGCTCACAGATTACCTAGACTTGCCACCTCTCCCTTAGGAAGTTAAGAGAACTCAAGAAACTACCTATCCTGACACGAAGCCGAGGCCTATAAAGTGAGTGTCCATGTTGTGTAGCTGACTGGCTCCTAACAGCTTTCCCTACGTCCCGTCTCCCAGATATATTGACCTTGTATTTTCAAGAGGAAAGCGTCGGAAACATGTTCGTCCATAAGCTTTGTCGCACTGAATACGTGAAACCCCAAGGGTAACAGAGCTCCGCTACTGATCAAAACATCTAGCAAGACAAACTCAACCTGAAGACGTAGCTACCAAAGTCGGTTACCTTATGAAAAATATTTCTTAGCACTATAGTGCACCAATCCTTGCGCAGCTCACATCGCTACGCTGGGGGCAGGTGGAACATCTCTGCTGGGAACCTCTGGTCGCGGTCGTCGCCCTCCTTTCAAGCTCCTGACACGCGACATAAACCCATTGCCCTGTCTAGCGCCATCTGGAGACTCTGCTCCATCGTTGGTCCCTCGGCGCTCAAGACTAGGCACCGGCGGCGTCACGGGAGATGCCGAGTTCGAATCCTTACGCTTGACAGAAATGCGCTCTTCCCCCTTGCCGTCGAACTCCGCAAAGAACGGGTTCCTTTCGCCAGTGCTACTGCCAGTAGGCATATCGCCAGTCCTAGGAGTGTAGCGGTCACCATCCGGGTTAAATTCACGAGGCTCGCGCGGGGCGCGCTTGATGCTTCGGAAGCGCTGTACCACAGACTTCTTTCTGCCCAGTCCCTGCTCCAAGACCTCTTGCGCCGTCTCAGCTTGATTGCGCTGGATCGCAGCACGTGCTGCTGGGGTACCTTCCAAGAATGTTGAAGATCCGAGTCCCAGTGTCTCTTCGCCAACGACGAATTCGTTTGCCTGCTTCGGATCGAACAAGGTAGCCTCACCCTTGCTTCCTGCAGACCTCTCCTTAACAACGTTCCCATACATGTTGGAGACGTCGTGAGGCTCTTGGCCCATGAACTGCATATGATCAGGCCTCTTATTTAGGGGACCCGCGCCTCCGATAGAATTATTGGCAGAGTCCTTGGCAAATGCTTGCATAGGCGCACGACGACTGCCCTTACGATTTCGGTGCGGGTTGCATGCATCAAATGGACCATCGTGGTGGAATACTAGGTAGGATCAATCAGTACATGAGCCAGAAAAGCTCGACACTGTGAATACTTACGCCCTGTTCCGTAAATGCTCGTAGCATCAAGCTGATCGATGATATCGATTTTTCGGGCTGTTTTCGGTTTATCCTTGCCCTCGCGATGGCGTCGCTCGCGCTCTTTGCGTCGAAGCTCGCGTGCTTTCTTTTCCTCTTCCGTCAACGGCTTCTCAATCATCGAAGAATCGCTATTGCGACGAGGGCGACGGTCTGTCTGTTTCCTCTGGGGAGAACCAGAGAGGCCCTTCTCCCCTCCGTTTGAGGCGCTATGCATGCGACGAGCTTTTAGAGCTTCTTCTTGCGACCGGGTCGGCCTGTGAGACGAGGAAGGCGGCGCACCGCGACCACGGGGAGGATTGTTTTCGCCACGAGGTGGACCGCCGGGAGGGCGGTTCGCCGGTCGGGGTTTCGCATCCCTACTACCATCGTCAAGCGTCATGTTATCCTACAAACATTAATGTTAGCAACCTGTGCAGTAGACAATGACCTGTAAACTATAATCCGTGCATTGTATGCAACTTACAAATAGATCCTCGGCGGTGAACGACTTATGATCCTTAGCTGATGACATCTTGGCGGACGAATTCGCAGTTGCAGCACTGGTAGATGGATTATCGAGGAAAGGGTTTTTCGAAGTAGGTCGGGGAGGAGGGTCATCAAATGGAGAACGAGGAGGAGAGACCAAACTGTTAGGCGAGGCCGCACGGTTGCGAAAGGGGTTGTTTGACGAAAGATTAAGCGTCAGACCAGGCGATTGGGTGGACTCGTGATTATCAAAAAGACCTATTGAATAACAAACAGAAGAGATGATTAGCTAGTCGGTTCACTGCAGATTCACTATAATGGGAGTGACGACTGTGATAGGCAATTGTGAAACAACAATCTCTACAAATGAAACAGGACAGGCGACTGGTCCCGTAAAGTGGATCGCGACCAACTTGGATCTTGAACCTCCTTTATGGGCAGTAAGATATAATATAGGAATGGGATAATAGGATAATAGGATAAGAATAGGATGAAAAAAGGGGGCGGCGGAGCTAGGCATTATCTTGCTTTCTTTACTTACCTAGTAGGTCTGCCGATTGAGTGGACATTGTGTTTAAAATTCCTTGTTTTTTCTGGTGCAGGTTCTCCTTATCTCGCAGGGGATACTGCCCCGTAGCTGTGGTCGAGGGTTAGAAATACTCTCTCACGGACGTTGATTGACGGAATTCCTACTTTGTCAACCAATAATCGGTTCGGTTAGGGGTTCGAAATAAACTTGTGCGATAGCGCAACCCGGGCTTTGCAGGAAACTTTGGCGTAGGTGGTGTGTCAGGGGTGGAAGAGATGGACAGCGATCTTCAGGGAGATGGGAGATAGGAGATGGGAATATTCGCCAAGTTTTCCCGTGACGAAGCGATGACGTTTTATTACTGCTTGAAACGTGACGCGGCGCGGCGCGGCGCCTTCGGGATGAATAGAAGATTAATAAGATACCAATCGAATTGATAGGTAAGCTTAGGTAGGTATGAAAATGCGACAGGCGCTAGAAGTGAAGGCTGAACGAGTTGAATTTGGGGTTTGGTGGTAATAGTGGTGATCAACTCGTGGTGGAAATGATTTAGATGTTTGTTACGGCAACGCGCCTTAGGCTGTTCTGCTTCATGCAAGGAACCTAGATGGAAATGCGAATAGAAAATGGTGGCGCCCGTTCAGATGCTTAGTACAAATGTGACGAGGGCGAGTCAGGTCGCAGATTCTCGATTTCCTGTTGCACCAAGTATATTTTCGAAGTCTAAACTTGCAGCTCCAAGGCTTGGGGCAATGCAGGTGAGGAGGTTGCGAGGTTGTGTTACCGTCGGTAGTTGGTAAATATTCGATTAAATGCTGTCGGTCCTCTTTCCTTTGAGGTCGGGTGACGAGATTTTCCTTGGTTTAGCTCCTTAGCATTCTCCTCTCTGTTTTTTTCTCTTTAACCCCCCTTTACTCCGGGTCGCTTGCGCTGGAAAGAAGACCCCTATTAACTAAGGGACGGTACTAAAATAAGTGGAAGGGTTAAGGTGGAAGGGTACTGTATCCCGCTGTGGACTCTAATTGATTTAGGATGGGGGTTTTGTCCTGGCTCCTTTCTGACAGGATGACAAGGGGAATATCGGTTAGAGGTCGACGAAACAGATATCAGCGGGGCAATTCAACCCGTCTTACAAACTCGTCCGTATTAATAATTGGTGTTGTGAACTTTTTTTTTTAGTTGAAAAACGAGAATTACAATTCAATGCAATTCGAACTCAGAAAAGGACAAAAAGAGCTCCATCGATCGAGTTTGAGGACCGAGGTGTGGGCTAACCTTATATTATTACAGCATTATTGAAATTGGGTTAGTGGAGTTCGTAAAGAGCAACAGGTGCGCAGTAGCTACCACAGTATCCCATGTATCCCAGTAGGACCTAGTCTGGTGCAAATACCAAATTGGAATAGCTAAAATGCTTAATAACAGGTAGGACAATGTATGTACGAAGTATGTACCTAACCTAACCTAACGCATGTACGCAATATAAAGGTACCTCTACTGTAGGTAGAAAGCGCTAGGCAAACACGGTAAACCCAGTTAGGACCTACCTAAAAGGGCACTGTAAGCGCTGTAACCTGTAACTCGTATTGAATCTCAACAATCCTACCTACAGGACACATAATACATAAAAGGACAGCGTCGCTTCATATTTCGATTAGGATGCGAGAAAGGGCAAAGGGGGCGAAGGGATGGATTAAAGGAGCGCAGCGTTCCGTAGTCGAAGCCGGTTGGGCGACAAGCGGTGACAGTACATGATGCATTAACAAAGTTGTCTCTGGCTATTCTACCTTGAGGTCGCCAAGCATTCTTCCGGGTATCTAACCTCTCTTTAATTGTATAGGTGCCTAACAGTAATAGCTTCTTAATGGCCCAGACCTTAAGCTGAATACCATGTATATAATAGAAGAATTGGCTTCCGCAAGGAGCTTCTCGGTTCTCGATCATTGACTAATTCCTCCTAGCTCCAGCGATGAATCCCATGATCTCGACGTTGAGGAGTCCTGCTTGTTTATACCAATAAGATATACCAATAAGATATACTAATAAGATATACTAATAAGACTAATGCATACACTAAATATCGAACTACAGACACTTTTAATTTCTAACGGCCCAGCGAAAAAGGCTATTCGGTTTATCCCAAGGGCGGATTACCCCTGGTATTTGGTGCAATCTGCTAATAAATCTGCTAATACACCATCGCACGTGTAACTATGACCCACTGGCAAATCCACTGGTAGCCCACTTAATATGTACATAGGTACCTATGTATAACTCGGCAAAGATCGAATGCAGGTAAGGTACCTAAAAAGGTAGCGTCGAGGCATGGGTGGTTGACGAAGTCTACCTGGTCTAGATACATAGGAATCAATATACTACATGTATGTATTATGTATTATGTGTTAATTAAGTTTTTGTTCTAGATGAGGCGTAACTGGTTACCAACTCGTGCATTTTTCAGTAAACCTGGTTCGAGACCCCTTTTCCGAGTTTGCCATATCAAGTACGTACATGGTACCTTGCTTGCTACATTAATAATGTACCTCTTAGCCCGCGTAGCCGAAAAAGATGCCCCCACAACGTTCGAATTTAATCCCTTGGCATATCTGTGGGGTACCTAGTCCTGCCATCTCTGCCAGTTAGGTACTGCATCTCTGCCATCTACTAAACGCCGATCTCCTCTTTATCGCTGCCCCTTTTCCATCCACGCAAGCCACGCCATAATATTTCATCAAAGGAAACCGGAGTTATTAAATCTCAAACTCTATTAAGATCTACTTGCTAGGGTAAACTAGAGTTTAGTCTGCATACCATCATGAAGCTGAAGCGACGAGTAAGAAGAGAGCGGGCTCTATCATAGGTATCCTTTGAGTTCAAGCCCAAGTTCACCAAACTCCAGCATTAAAGCCTTAACCGCCGGATCGACAGATGCGCATTAACATCAATAAGCCTTCGAAGCTTTCGCATTACCAAGGCAGCTTCAGAGGGGTCTCAAGGTTATTCCCAAGCACCGTCTCGGCCATTCCAATATCTCCTGTTATACAAAGAAGTCAGTGGCAAAAGCAGTTTAGTTTATAGGTTCTAGCCTTACGTGGACCACGGGGAGCCCAGTATTCCCCAGATTTGCTAATATCTAAGGCCTCTGTCCACTCTACAAGACTCTTCGCGGCCACTTCAGGAGTAACAGCTGAATATCACATGTTTTAGCTTCACCACATGTAATGTCTTAGACTCAGGTTACTTACCACCACCTTCGTCCCAGTGCTTGTCAAAACCGACACCTTTTGTCATCTCGGTGCGCATGAAACCCGGGTGTACGATGCTGACAATGATACCCTTTTCCTTAAGGTCGATACTGAGAAGTTTTCCGACCATGTTCAACGCAGCCTTGCTTGCGTGGTGCGCGTAATTGCCGCCGCCTTCTTTCTCGTGCCGTAGGGTGATACTTCCGGCCTCGCTAGAAACCAAGATTATCTTGGATCCGGCTTTCAGGCGGTCGTTCTGCACGAGGCGATGCACAATGAATAGCGGTGCGATAGAACTAACGGTATACATGGTCAATTCATCATTCCAGTTCGGCCCTCCGGACTTGGAAAAGTCCTCGGTCATGAATCGTCCGGCGTTGATGATCTACAAGTAGTAAGGTTGGCCATATAGTATTGCAAAATCAACGTATACAACTTACTACGACATCTAGAGGCTTCTCTCCTTCGAGCTGACTCGAGAGATTGTCTCCGACATGTTGGTTAGTAAGGTCAATTCCAGAAAGCCACTTGATGCCGTCCGGGAATCCGCTGGGTGCAGCATCAGATCGCGTGGTCGCATATGTGAGCGTCTTGGGATTTGAAGCGTATTCCTTCACCAGTGCGGCTCCTAAGCCTCTGGTAGCGCCAACTACGAGTACAGAAGTCATTGTAGAATTAGGTATAATACTGAATAAGATCGAATAGGAGTTGAGTATGTTGAGTAACCGTGATATGAGGAGATGATATAGGTTTTAGTTTCCGTTGTGTTACAAAGCGTTACCGTTGACGAGGAAAGTCTCAGCACGCCATTGATGGTGAGATAGATGGTGACGTCACTTCTTATAACTATGACAACTGTTACTTTTTATGCACAGCGTAGAAGATATATTAATGGGATAGTATAATTCGAGCACTTCAGCACCAAGTGAATTAAAATTTTAATACTTACACTCGTATAATAAGTTCTCAAGACTTGATATCTTATAAAAGGCTAGTATGTACTAGTAGTTCCTTCGTATATTTTTCCTCCCAACCTCATATCAGACGGACCTAATCATATTTACGTCATATCTTACTTCTCTAGTATCAAAAACCCATACACTAGTATAGCTATTAAGTGCCAGGGAACCCTAGAGGGCGAGAACAGTTCTTGCTATATAAACGAGTGTATGACTTAGGTATGAGATGAATAGGTAGTCTGTAACTAACAGAAAAAAAGAAAACCTTCCTAGGTAAACATGAATACCCGTCAGCTAGTTAGTAGATAGATAC